TATGGCTTTTTGGACTTACAATGACTCCAGTCATACGACAGAAATGTGCCAAAGCCAGTGGCGGATCCAGGGGGGGACCGGCCCCTTAATTTTAGACCAAACGAAGGCCTGAAGGGCCAAAAAAAAATTTTTGGAGACCGCCCCCCAGGCTACATTTTTAGTCAGGCTGGAAGCGTTTACAACGAATAGAAGCCAAATTTGGAGGACAAAAAAAATTACAATCCCAGAGTAAGTAGTTTGTAGTTTCGTGGCTGGCTCGCTCGTTACAACATACAACATACAACACAGTACACAATTTTACTATTTAGGGTCTTGAGACTTGCGGAATAATGTGGTTATAACTCGCTTTCTATTTTGTTTGCGCCAGATGAAATCAGCGAGGTGAAAAGAGTATCGATCGATTTTGTTCAGCGAACTTTACAAAAGAAAGGAGCATCTTTCACGTACATTCTTGTGCCTTTCAGCGATCCAGGTAAGTCGTCTGATTTATCAACATTTACCGCTCATCATCCAACAAGGCGAAGATAAGAAGAACAAAAAACATGTGGACCTTACACTAGCTTTTCCTTATTACACTTGTGACGCACGCTTTATGGTCGTACTCCCCTGCTGATTAGAAAATCGAGACTTTTCCCTTTAGTCTGTGATTTAAAACAAGGGAACGCCTGTCCAATAATAACCATGCTCATTGCTGCTTGCCTCAGAAAATCATCAGAAGCTCAACAACAGTTTGCTCATTACCCGTCCCCTATCAAAACACGGCACGTATCAATTATATTTTGGGAGCAAATTTGGGTATAAACACCCAAAGCGAAGATATAGACTCATTAGCATGGTAGCAGTAAAATAATGATCAGCTTTATAAAACTGCCGTTAATCTAGTCCATTGTTATTTACAACGTTACTCTTTCCCTTTATAGAGGTGGGTCCTGTTACAGTAACAAGTGATGCAAACACAGTGATCGACGCAGTTAACAACCTAACCGCTTCTGGAGGCGGGGACTGCCCCGAACTAGGCATGACGGGTGTTTACCAGGCCCTTCTCCACTGTCCTCCGGAGACCATCATTTATTACTTCTCAGACGCAGATGTGAAAGATGAGCATAGAGAAAGGGAAATCATGTCCCTGGCTAAGGAGAAAAAAGTCAAGATTAATTTGATTTTATCCGGTGAATGCGGTCGGCGAAAAAAGCGAGATGCCCAGCAATCGGATCAATTGTTGAACTTTAGAGAGTCTCGCCGTCACCGTACAAGGAGAAATGCTCAAAGTCAAGCCCTGTACCAGGCCATCGCTGCCCAAACAGGTGGACAAGTGCTTGAAACTAGCAAGGCCGGAGTAGCTCAGGTTGTTGAAGTTATTGATAGTGGAGGTTCATCTAACTCATCTGTTGCCCTCAGAAAAGTGGAGTTGTTGAATATGAAGGAAACTCGAACTCAGTCCTTCAGTGGTCAAGTTCACTTCGTGGATGTAGACAGCACGTTAGAACGCTTGGTTTTTATATTAACGGCAGCGAATTCGCCAAGCTTAGATGTCAA